ATTAAGTCAATAACCGATTTCGTTATCGATCTTAAAACCCTGGAAACAAGATCCAGACCAATTTCCATCAATCACAAATTGACAAACGTGAAGCCCCGTTGTTTAAATTACTCATGATCACTTAACCCGGAATTGAATTTTGAATAGGCTGGTGTTATAAAGCACAGTCATAAAAAACGCAGGAAACCTGTTACGATTATTGAGAGGTGCATTTTGCAGAGACAAAGTAGGTCACTAATTTGTAGTTACTTATATGGGTACAGCACTTCACCGAGGATTGTTCTACGTGAAGGAGACACGCCAAAGACAACATGGAGGCCGAATCGTGTATCGTGGCGTTTTAAGGGGGAGTCATTCTTGCTAGACATGTTGTCAGTATAAATATGGACGACTAATTTTCAATTCACTAAAGAAAGTCAATGCGTGACGTGTAATCATAGATCACATAATCTAAGTCAGGAATCAGTTTAATTAACTGTGGCTCATACCTTGTAATAACACCATTCATTTTAATCGATTTAGCAGCAAGCATTCCTAATGCCAGTCACCCCCACTAGAAGGTTTACCGTGGGGCGACAGGATGACTTATTTAAAAAAAAGTATGCCAAATACCAACGGATTTTAGGTGCTATCAAGAAACTTGTCGTGACGTGGTCACGAGCGCAGGTTCGAATCGTCCAAGTATCGCATTTGGCCACCATTCGCACTTTTGTCTTGAACGAAGACTAACTAAAGTAAGATGCACAGTGAAAGGCAGAAAATAGCGTACCATCGGCGTCTACGCCAGAACATTAATTTTCGAAAGTTCGAGCATGTGGTCTCATTATTTACGTTAAACGACCTTGAGCGACACCGCGTACTTCCTCAAGTTCCATGACATCCTGTTGGCTGACAAATCCGGACGTCACGAAAGGATTTCGGGCTAAGGAGAATTTAACCCAGCGAGTCACCACTCAACAGCTGTCCGCGTAACCGCCCAGGTCAGGTGTTGCAACGGCTTCATAACCTAGTTATTTTCCGCATTAGTGGCCGCATGATGTGTAGCTGTTAATTGCGCAGTTTATCTTGATGTGCCTCAGTCATTAAAACGCCCAAACGAGGCGTGGTTAGGTAAGGACAGTAAAATCAATGTACAGTGTCAGTTTTTAGGAAAATTCAAACATTAATTTAGAGCATTTCCTTTGGCTTAGAAATGCTTTTAGACATACTTAATGCTGGGCCTTTTCAGGAAATGGCCTGAACACACTTAACTGACGATGGCAGTAGCAGCCGATACCATTTTTTACTTATATAGTGTGCCTCAAGCCGTAAGTTTGCCCTATATCACTTTACAATTCCATTGTGCCTTTTCTCAAACCAATTTTTACACTGATACTACGCTAACGGGGTCATTCTGCAATTATCGTCCCTTCAACGCTGAATGATGTGTCGACATGTGGCATTATTTGCAGAAAACCGGTTGGCCTTCGGCAGCATTTGTTTGATTTCGTTCTCCTACTGATAGTCATGCTTGAGTTTGCTTCGATTCTAAAAGAGAATGTTGACCAAAGAATAAGGAAAATTCATGGGTTCTTCAATACATAAGTAGGAAGGAAACGTGGTGCTTAATGTAATTTAGCATAAATTTTGCGTTTATACTTAAATGCGAGAATTATTTTTGGTAGTGAATGGATGAATCTAAAAAAAAATTGAATAAAGTGAGGTATTTCCTGGAATTGGATAGACTCAAGTTTATTCAAGCAAAATGTTTCAGCTGTACTTTGTTTCTACTGAAATGTCATTGTCTTGCTTTTAAAAGAGAAAAATGTGAATTTATTATTAGGTTAATTAAAAGGCTTTAGTTTTTAGGTTTGAAGATATGAAGTACTGTTCATGTTTCATAAATTTCTTGCCTAATTTTTAAACAAGGACCTTTACCTGAAATCTTCGTGAAAAGAACCAAAACCAAACCGTGATGACCTTTAGGATGATTGATCACTAAGACAGAACTGATTAGCCTAACATTTAGAATCCCTCAGAATGAGAGAAGCTGGAGTTCGTTTTGAGGATGTGACCAGTTCATGAGTACGATTAGGTGTGACAGATATTCATAAGTAATAGCACCCAATAGGTTTGTGGTGCTGTCCTTTCTTGCTTAATTTAAACATTTTTGGGAAGTGGTATGAGTCGGAATTCGTCCTAAACCATCATTTCCTATTGGAGTTCAAATTAGCCAAAATCGATTCATGCCTGAATCGAGCTGAGGCGTGAACTGTTCAAACGGATTGACCATCGAAGGCTTCTCGCTTACAAAAGTTAATTATCCGGAGCCTTGAATACTTGCAAAATCTGAAGGCTGTATCTGTGTGTTCATCTTGCGACCAACCAGTAATCAGCACACTCACACGCTCGCACGCCAATAAGCACGCACGTACGCAACTAATAGGATTAGAAACATGTGCACACAAGAACGTACGCACCGCAAGGCTATGGGGGAGGCGGGAGAAGGCTGTGGTGAGATGCGCACAATTCCACTGACCGCCGTGCATAAACACTGGGGTCGTGAGGGAGCAGACGCATTGCGGGCGATGGGCCACAGACGTTAACAGGCGGGGTGGGCGAGACAAAAAGTCAATCTCTCGTAGTACTCGAAGCATTCATGTGGCGGTCAACCCTATTACTGATTATTCCCTTCGCCCTATTCAAACCCCTGCAGGCGGTCTTTCCCCCTCCTCCTTTGACTATCAGCTTGTCCTCAGACCGCGTTGCTCTAGGTGACTCTGTTACCATTCGTTGCCATGTTAACCCCATTTCGGACGAGGGTGCTTTGATGGCACGGAGCAGTATGGCTCTGTATTGCCCGGTGGTACAGGAGAGCGCATTCTGCTTCCAGAACTGTCGACCTCTAGAACAATGTGACTCCGTACGAGGCGGTGACTGTAAGGTGATTCCTGCTCTGGAAAAGGTCGCCTGCAGAAGTATAACGCAAGCCAGTGGTGAGATCATTTACGAGTATACGATCGACCATGTTACTCAGGAGTGGTTTGATAAGAGACAAAAGGGGTTCGCGTGCTACAGCGCTGCACAAACAACAGACTGGGTGAGACTGCTTCAAGCACCCGGAAAGGAGAGTTTCCAAGCCAAGACGACAACCACGACAAGGATTCCTTCCACAACCAAATCAACCACAACCACAACAACGACTACATCAACAACCATGGCCAGTACCACTACAAGCACAGCTGCACCGAAATCTGTGATAATTTCTGAAACAAATTCGATGGAGAGTGGCGTAAATTGGTTCAACTTTCTAAGAAATTCAGCCAATTCATGTAAGTTCGGCAAATACTTTTCTTTCTTATGCGATAACATTTGAATTGCACTCGTCCCCACTGTTTCTACTCCACTTTATAAAATGTTGACCTTGGTCGTAGCTATATAACCAGTCGAGATTGGAGTCGGGTGTGCAATCTGAGTTAAAAAGGCATAACAATTGGCATCAGGCAGCCCGTGGTTAATTGGTTCGGTGGTGTTGATGCGACCTATTACGCGACACATCGGTTACACATCTGATGCTCCGACGGACTAATGTTAAGTGTAATTATATTTACAACCTCCATTTGCTTTATTGAAACTGCTTGGGAATAGCTTTCCTCACTTTCTTATCAGAGTGACTATATAATGCACTAAAATTTATTTAGGTCTGTCATTTGGCTATTAAAGTGTCACAGTCTCCTTAACAACGGCGCTACTTTGTGTGTCAAAACGCTTCACAAATTAACTCATGTAATATGTACGTGGTGTCTGAAGCATTGCAGAAACGGCGGCTGGCGTCTCTGTTTACATGCGAAAACATCTTTACCTAATTAATGGCCAAAATAACATCCGCAATCCCGGTAACATTCTGGTGTTATACGTCTGCCTTAAAAAAACGGTTCAAAATCTCGCGTTTCACGATAAACCGGGTACTTACTGAAGTGTGTAGGCTGGGAAATCAAATACCTCATGCTGGAATATATCACTCAGTAGTTTGGCATTTGAGTATTGAGTACCAGGGCGGAATTTTTCCGATCACCTTCCATCTCATAGTGTTTGCGACACACAGAAAACGTCATGCTGGCTGCATCTGCTCCAGAGTGCCTGGTTCAACTGGTTATTGCCATCTGATTTGTCTACCACAAGGCTACGTTGTCGTGACTGGTGCAACAAATGTGTGGATAAACTGCATTTTTACACACAATGATAACAATTTTCTATTGGATCCACCTTAACCCTGTTTGGCAGTTATTTAAACCGTATTTAATCTAAACACCCAATCAACAAACAGAACTTGATGTATTCGCAAACTTGTGATCCTTTAGCACTCCTTCTCTGGCTCTTGTAACTTAAGTTGGGCTACGTCACACAGTCAAAATGACAAACAACTCGAGGCAGAATGTGTGCTTGCGTTTGATACCTGTGGTGCGCTTTCACTTAGGATGTATCCCTGATTTGGGTCATAATTCTACGTGCTGCACTAGCAAATTGCTGTCGAATTTTTCAAATAAATCAACTGCAACTCTGTTTTCCGCGAAATTTGTTCAGTGCATTAAAAACTCGACTGGCATTGACCGGTGCCCAAATGGATTCCTAAACTAACACATTCATCAGTCCAAAACGATGCAGGAGTGCCACGGCCCACGTTGATTGTAGGAACACAAAATTTCAAAGTGCTTGTTAAAACGCACAATTCTGATTAGGCTAGACCTGTTTTCTCTGTGGGTATCCAGTCGCGTTAAAGACTTCGCGTGCTCATACAAAGAAGCATTCAGACATCCCCTTTCGTGAAAAATTCTCAACAGATGAAGTAAATGGTCCTGGGTCAAAATATGTTCATAGTTTCATAGTTTTCCGCAATTTATTTAACATTCGCTATACAATGTAAACGTTTCATTTAAGGTTGGCTAATAGCCCGGAATCAGAGAATGCGTTCAATTTCGAATTACGTTGGTGTTGCCACATTTTAGGGTCCGAGGTTTCTCAAAAACCTTGTTGTTTAATTTAAGCTGATGATTTTCCCAGAAATTACGAAAAAAATTTGTCTCTGATAACTTAATTTAAATGGAAATGTTCACATAAATATCTAGTATGGCCATTCTAGACTTAGAAGACACGACGGTACTTACGTAAAGCGAAACACCGACTTTGTTCCATGTTCCCACTGTCACCAAAAGTGGAAACCAAGGGCCCTACGGTCCCAAATGAAGACGTTCTGTTCAAAATAACAATTAATCAAAGCTCTCGCAGCAACCGCTTTTGACTGGCTTGCAGGGTCATATTTTCTTTTGAAATTGGTTCCACGAACGCATTTGATAGAATACAAATTAACTGGATAGTGATGCCGAGAAGTAATTAAGTACTATACCTATATTTGAACCCTTCATAACACGTAATCATCGTTGTTATCATGCTTGGTAAGAATTCATCTAACCGAGAACTGGGGTACTGTTAGCTTCCCTTGGTTAGGGAATAAATTACCCGGGGCACCTAGCAGATTCTTGACCAAATTTTGGGTGTTCAGTTAATGCTCCTAAGGCCGTGACATTGCAAATGGCACTAAAACCGTAAGGTTTTACTAAGACGATAAATGTTAAATCATGTTCTTGAAAATGAGTTTAGAGGTCGATACACGGTTGCCACTATTTGCCCAGAAGAATCATGTTTGTAAAGTGTTTATATAAATGTAACATATTTCGTTGTTCAAAACACACATTAATTATTGTAGACCTGTTACCCCATGCATTATGTCCGTAAGCGTGATTTCGTGGCTTGCCTAAATGGTTTTTCTGATAAGCCCTTGACGATTAGTAGTATCTCGTGTATGGCGCCTGTTATGTCCGTTTGTGCCCACTGATGCCTTATGCCTGACACCGGTCTAAGGCAAACGACTAAGATCATTGGCGAAACATGCCCACATCAATGAGGAGGTGTCAGGTATGCGCCTTCACATGGCTATACTTGTCACAATATCTGTGTCAAGTTTAAAATGTTTGAAGTCTGCACTTGGTAGTACGGTAACCCTAACAAGGTACTCGTTTTTTGCAACCCTTATGTTCGATTCCTCAGGAAAATCACAAATTTAGGGCCGCAGAAATTATATTAACAGTGCGGAATTTGCTTGCAAACAATCTAGCTAGTGAGAGTTATTAGTCTGACACCGATGGAAGTCCTAGGTATACACGATCTGCACATTAGGCTCGAACAATATATCACAAAAATGATTCTCGCTAAATGCAAAACGTATTAGCAATTTACTAGTCCTGACTTGATATTGGATGGGAAAACGCTTTTCTCAATTCGCTCCTGAACTCCGCATCGGTACAAACATGTGCCTTTTGACCCAGCGTTGTGGGTTTTGGCATTTGTTGGCACTGTGCAGTCATGGGCTGTGCTCTGAGTCACCTTTAAGTGTTGCCAAGCCCCCACTTGCCTGGGCCTTCACGCGTAAAGTATGGTGTTGGTAACTTAGAGGGGTAGAGGGCTGAAACAAGGGACGTTACCCGCTCTTCCCATACCTCGACGACGTCTTGACGTCGGCAAATGCTGACTTCTTTAGTCTCGCTAACGGACAACCACAAACTGTTACATGGTATTTAGAAACGACATGAACGCGGAGATGTGACCCTGGACGCTTGCCTCTACCGCATCGATTCGTGACCTTGGGTTTGTCTAGGATGAACCTAACAATGCCGAAACAACTGTTCATGTCTTTCAGCATGTCTTCCATTGGATTTTCTCTAATTGACGCTACATTCGTGTGCTATGTTCAAACCAAATACTGAAACTCTTTCACGACGTTTTGTTATTCGACCAACTGTGTACACGTATTGAGCAGTTATACGATTTAGTTCGGATGGTTGGCAGATTCCGCTACTCGCTGAATTTCACCAAAAAGCCACTTACTTGTTGCTAGGTTCCAGAATCTGTTATAGAGAATCCCACATATAAAATTGTTTTTGTATTATATATATAGTGATCTTTGATAGGCGTCAGTGCACGTGACGAACCTCAACTAGTCAATTATTTATGCTACACAAATACGTCCTCCTGAATAGATGATCGCTGCGCAAAGTGCTCATAAATTAAAAGGTAGGATCGACAAGACAGCGATTATTTAAAGTTCTCTTCTACCGAATGGCAGGCTGATGTGTTTCAACTTTCACGCAACCAACGTGGTCGTGCTTTTATCAGCTCCTGTTGCCAAGATCCATCTTCCACTTCATCATAACCACCGTTTTTCCGACTTTAGCACTTTAGTCCTTTTTGTTTTAACCATTTCCATTGAGTACCCTATGTCTGGTTTAAAAATAGAGATTCTTCAAATTGAAATGCTTCGACGAAATCTCTAAGAACGATTTTAGTAAGAGAATCACTTTTTTTAGGTATAGTTAAATGCAGAATACGTACTTTAAGGGTAGTTAAATTAAATTGACTCAGCACCCACCAAAAAGTGGCAATTAATTGCGTAAAGACGTGCGAGTGTGGAATTGGTTATTTTCAGCAAGCGCAATTTGGCTTTCATTCCCGGGTTTTTGGTGAACCTAATTATCACTGCAACATTTAACTTTCCTCTACGTAGACTCGTGGGTCTTTCATATGTAGTAGCCTTGTCTTAGTGTCTGTAATGCATAGGTCAGCGATTGGGTGTACATCCGGCGGATGTCATATCCAGGTAACTTTGTCTGTGGCCAAATCACGTGCTTCAGAACTTTGTTAATTTCATGTCAACTTGCACTGTGCATTTTGTCCGGTGAAATGAACAGTTTGTCTTTACTTTCAAGTCAGCTTCAACAAATGCGTATTGACGTTTATGTACAGCTTCTAGACTTCATTGGCTTTCTTTAAGACTTAATATTTCAACATTCCGTGATCATGGTGTAGAACAAACTGTTCAAGGTCCGTATACCAGAGAAAAATTAAAAAAGCTGACCACAGATGGTGTCCCATACATACACGTGGTCAGCAAAGCTTGTGCGTATGCCCTTGTTTGCCAAACTACTCCCAGTTTTGCAAAACAGCGTGATGATGAAGTCAATTTGTTCAAGCGAGTCCATTGTCTTTATCACATTAATCAACCTTGTCAATAATTTTGAAATGCCTAGAACTCATTAACAATTACGCAGTTCTCGTGTTACTGGTCAGCATCGTTCGCCTATTTCCGACGTCTTCTTAGCTGAAGGCGTCTCTTGGTTTACGAAATTGTATAACTCGGCGCCAAACTGCATGAAATTGGCACGTGCGTTCAGGTGCGGTGTGTTCTGCAGGTGGCCATTATTACATCCATGTATAATCGGCCAGGGTGTTTACACTGACACCCGATTTGACGCCACCCGGTTTGTGTACTCGTGCACCAATTTCTGACGTGGTACGGGAACGAGGTGGCAGCCTGGTCTACCCCTGCCCACGCACCCACGTTCACATGGCTCACGAGTTAATGGTGGTAGTAGTGTCATTAGCGCAAGCTCATCGGCACCACCTGCATGGCAGACTGTGTTCCACTAGATGCAGGCCAATCTATGTTTGTGCCACTTTCATAGATTCTACTGGGTTAAATGGTTTACTGTGTAGGTAGGCGTGAGTGTATTCGGTCGAAGCCGAAATACGTTTTTAACACAATCCTGATCACTTTAGTCTTGAACTTGGGAATCAACAAAGCCTGTGAAAGAATGCAATGGTCATCCAAGGGAGATAATAATCTGTGTGTCGTTGCTTCGAACTGATTTATGTCTAGACCAAGATGAAAGACGTGTACTGTAGGCCTATAACAGACACATAACTTGGGAAGACACTCAAGATGGGTCAATAAATGCATTTTCGGGAATCGTTTTAAATTATAAGTGTATGCCATACCTGCAATCAAGGTAAGATGTGGCTTTGAGGCAACCACATTGGGACTCTCTGGAGACATAATGAATTTTAAACCCATCCCTAAAAGCATGAACACTGGTGGACTCAGTGTTTCTTCTGCTTCCAATCCACCATGCCTTCGCACGTTAAAAAGGCTCAACACGACAGTCCAACTTCTAACAAAGATTCGGAAACTCAAGTTGTTAGCACGTATACAAAGGTAATCACTCCCGGGACCTTTTTTCCAGGCGTATTTTGCGACTCGGTCGACATAAATATACATTATGATCCGTCACTATTGGTTATTTAAATTTGTATGTACTCGATTTGCAAAATTTACCTCGAATTCTATTAAGCTAACAATGGTTCGCTATTATCCCTAGTCCCTTAAAGGCACGGAAAGTGAAGTTCACAAATCTATAGAAATAATAGCCTCGCTCACTAGGTTTATTGGTCAAGTCAATTCCAATCTAGTGTAAAATTTCAAATCAAAATTACACATTTTGGCTGAAGAAGGGAAAGGAAGCAAAGTTTGTACGCTGCGTGGGTCTCAGAAGCAACATAAGTGCTGCGTAGAAGGGGATTTCTTCCTTGTAAATTTCGCATTTTTTCCCTTTTTTCAGGGGGATTTTGGACGCCAGAAATGATTACAATTATCGCCTTATCAGCCCTTGCCTTGTCAGTGCTAATCAACTGTTTCTGCTGCGTTAAATGGTTTGTAAGACGTCACCACAGAAGTAAGTGTGTTCCTAATTTCTGTGTTTTAAAAACGCCGCAAATCAACGTTGAGCCACGTGATTTTTATTTGGCACCGAGGCTGTAATTTGTGGGTTCATCATCCATTGTGACTTGATGTTGGGACCACAACCACGTTGGATCATTTGTTCACACCTTTAAAGATATTCCCACACCCCACATCTCTGTATTAAGATGAACTATTGCCAACTAATTGAATCAGTAGGGATCTCTGTAGCTTTGAAACAAACTACACTCAGCCCTTTTTATTCACGCTTTTAAATCCCACGTTTGCAATCTTCTGAGAGTATCATTGTAGGTCACCAGTTTAGCACAAGTTATTACGCCACTTCCATCACCCTGAGGCACATCGTTTTCGTTGATTAGGCAGGCAGAAGCAAAATAAACCCTGCAATTAAAACATTCTTTCATTAACGTCAAAAAATAACATTGCTTATTTCGTCCCTTATGAGAGAAAAAAAATGTCAAGGTGTTGCTTAAAATTAAACGACTGGGTAAATGTTACAATGACATGCGACATTTCTGTTCTGATTTTCCTTTCAGTCCTCAAGCACAGAACCTGCTGTTGTAGGCTTTTTAATTCGCACCTCCCTCACCAGTAGTGGTGGAACAATGTCTAAAAAGATTCACGTTTATTCCCCCATCATAACTAGGGCATGTCAAAGCCGTCCCACTTATCAGGCGTAAACAAAACATTACAAAAGTACTTCACGAGTCTTTTCAAGAGACATTTCCCATCCCTCGGGATTGGGTTCTCCACCAACTTGTAGTGCTAAATGACCACTGTTTCAACTGTCCGAAGTAACATCTGCGTTCTTGTGTACAGTAACCGCGCCGATATTCCACAAAGATTGTCGCATTGCTTAAAAAGATAAAATGTTTCATGTGTGAATATTTGCAGAAGAACACTTGTATTGTTAAGTGTGTGGAAAAATGTGAACTGTGAACTGTCGAGATATTGCGGATGCTGCAAAGGAAATCATTTCTGGTTTCTTAATTGTCGCTCAGCATTTTTCACTTCACAAATTCCACTTTGTCGATGCATTTTATGAGAGAAGAAGAGGTCTTTCGTGAACTATAGGCGGTTATCTTTATCAGACCTTCTAAAAGCCGATATTTACAATCAGCCGCCACCCAAAGTTCGAGTGAATGCATTCAGGGCGCTTGTGTAAGCGTGGTCTCCTCTAACCAATTTATCCAAGCACTCTTACGCCAAAATAACAAACTTACAATAAACAAACACTTGCATAAACGTTTACTGTCACCGTTGTGAATATTCACACTGGTAATACAACAAAAACGCTTCCTAGTTACCCTAACCAAAGTTGGTTAGTAGGTAAGACCAGCGATCTCCGAAAATTTTGTAATTTTATTGTCTAATTTTGGCGAGAATGTCCCTGAAGTGGAAATAAAAAAGGGCGATTTATACACTCCAAAAGTGGACTTGCTGCCTTTTGTCAAGTAACGCGGAAGTAGAAAGCGATTTGAGGAAATACCAGTAAAAAAATTAGCCATTTGATTTGGTTTCACCACAGAAACTTATCTTTTAATCAATCCATGGCGAGTTTGAACTTGCCTTAGTCTTATTTTATTTGTCAACGGTTAATTTTATATCGATTAATCTTCCAGGTTGGTAGTCTGATGGATATTGTGCTTGGTCATGTTTAACTAAATGCATTTTTTATTTTCAAAGAACCGAGAAACCTTAAAAGAAGTGACACTTTTGGAACCCAACAAGATTTTAAGACAAGAGGTGTGCCAGCGGTGGCATGGTTTCCTGCAGACCCCCGATACGTTCCCCACGGCGTTCCTACAGCACAGCAAATGACTCCAAGCTCAGCCTATCATCGACAGACGGCAATTCTGGATGGGTCTGTGAGTGAGAACCCTCCTTCCTGGGGTCTTTACGATGGAGGAAACGCCGCCAGAGCTCATCCTGAGGGCAAAGCTGCCAACGGAAGCACCATGAGTAACTCAGGAGGCCGCAATTCAGACTCCGGGTTCTCTCTGGCTCACGCCGCACCCGTCCATTTAATCACCTCCGCTGGTTACCCGATGAGTTTCGATCCGCTTGGGTGGTCTGGTCCCGTCACGCCGAGATCCAAGCAGCACCGACTGCGGCATTCACTGGTCCCACCTTATTACATCGGGATGAAGAGAGCTCCCTCACGAGAGACTGTGTTCTCTGAAAGGCCCATGTCAGAGCTAGGATTCGAATCTAATCACTACATCCCGGTGGTTTTGGGAGGTAGTTGTGGAGTAAGGGCCTCGCAGCCGCACTTGGGAGCCTACGGACCTCCACTATGCGGCCCCGATGTGAGCCTAATCGAAAAACCAGGAGCGGGAGATGGGGCAAGTGCTGGTGGAGGCAGTGGTTCACCCAAACCCGGCATGGCGGTTTTGCTACCTGCAGCGGTAATCGGCCATCAATTCGGAGTGCTACCTCCTCCTTCGAGCTCTACGGAACGATCATCAGCACCACTTTTAAAAACGGATTTAACACTGAAAGCAAAAACAGCTCCACAAGCTACATTGGAGGAAGCAGGTAAAACTATTTAAGACAACAAACTGAGATCTCTAGTTGTACGTGGTTGTCATAAAATTTGCAAACAGGAGTTCAAATGTCTGTGCACGCATAATTTCGTACATGATCCACCGATGTCACGTAGCTAAAATAGATTTGTACCTTAAATGATAGTGTCTAGTGGGGGTTAATTTTTAACTGATCGTGCATCCGACTGCTGTCTCGAACCCACCGTTTTGCACAAAGCATTGGCGTGTAGCTTTTTAGCCCAAATTTTCTAAGGTAGGCATGAATCAATAGCTGAATCGAGAACAAAAAATGAAATGTTGAGGCCCAAATAAATTCTGAGGTAGCAAGTTTTGCAGGTGTAGACGTCCATTTTCCTTTACAGAATAAGTTTATTAGGTGACTCAAAAAGCTCGTAACAGCATTAATCACGTTGATTCGTCTAAGTCATCATAGTCACAACGTTGCTATGTACTAAGACGAAGGTACTTGAAAAGCCTTAATCGGTTCCAAAATCTGCAGCCTTACCTACTTTAGCATGGCTAAATAAATTCTACTTTGAAATGAGATTGTGATTGCGAATTTGTGGTGGGACTGAATTTGGCTTCTGGTGACCCAAAGTAACAATTCCGACAAGTTTCTACTGAACTTACATCACGTACTTCAAATATGTGTTCCAGTACTGTCGCGTGGACGCGTCGTAATTGACGCATTGGTTTTTAAATCTGCAAGGCTGCGCATTTTCAATTGCCCTCGGTCAAAGGTGTAAAGATTCACAAGTCTGCGTAGGCCTATTTTATGACTAGGCTACAGAGGTGTCTTATTTTGGTCGGAGTTCGGATGCGGATTTACAGATTACGGCCTCATTATTCGTATATTTACAAAGTCAAACAGTGGACTTTTACTGAACAGGAGATGAAGTGGAAAGAGCGCGAAAATTTGGCAACGATGCATGCCAGTCATTTAATTGCTTAAAAAGCCAGAGAGTCTCTATCCACATCAACCTGTTTTGCATGCACACATATGATATCAGAATGAGGTGGCTCATGTGATAGTGATGCTCTTGGCAATTTCTTTCTTGGCACAAAGTCGAAGCAAGGCAGTTACACCATCAAAAGGCTATTGGAAAATTTTACTTGAAATAGCAGACTTTTAGCTAAATTAAGGAACCATAAAAAGCGCAACCGTGGTCCAACACATGAATTAGGTGGTCCTCTTATACCCCAAGTAGAGTTGTATCTACGCCTATGGGTTACCTCTTCAAGACACCTAATAAACTGCCTAAACGACTTATCTGTCTACCGATCGTCTGCTATTTGCTAATTAGTAGTATCTTGAGGCAGCTTTGATCTTGTCAATGCATGTAACCATGAAAACTCCGGAGAGATTCCCGATTCCTGTACATCTGTACAATTTGTGACTCACGTTTTGATGTTTTTCGAATCAAAAGCCTAATCACTGCATTCAGCTTTCAATGCAACGAAGCCGAATGGTCAATGTTAACATTTTGGCTCAAAAGTTAAAGGTGATTTGTTCAAAGAAGTCCGTACTTCAAGTTACCTTGACAGCGGTATCTCTGAACCCGATTATGTTAAATCACAAAGTGACTACTGTCGTCGATAACCAGCCAAAGTTTAAATCACATGTGTTACTATGGCCTTCAATCACTCTCGCCTCACTTGTGATAACACTTACGCGTGCGGATGATATAAACTTTTCCCCCTATTTTCGTGCAGCCGCCGTCAATGACTCTTCTGGACAAAATGCAGCAGAAGTCCAAAAATGGCTCCAGTCGATGTCCTCGGCAGAAAAGGAGTTGCCTACGCGGCACCATTTGCGCCTGCCGACCAAACTCGCAGACAGCCTCAACACCGAGTACGACGTTGCGAGCGACTGGAGCGAGCGAGAGCCAATCCTGATGCAAGAAAAGCCAGACAGTGAAGGCACTGTTCCAACGGACTGACCCGCACCAAAACCATCCGATGCATGCGCCCAGGCACGCCAGGGACGGAGAGGCAATGGCACTGGACCCTCCAACCGATGCGTGTGACAGTTTGTACATTTTTCGCCCTTCTGACTGAGACTCTAACGCGTATTTCGTGGGTTTGGAAATGGTTTTTGTTCAAGTGTATGCTTTATTTGCAAAAAACAGTTTGTTGCTACAAACAGGAAAATTTGAACTACGCAGTCCTTTTGTTGAGAGTAGAAGAGTTATGATCTCCCATCTCGAGACGAGGACTATGTCCATTCCAATTTCCCTGTTTCTCGATATTCAATCGCGTAAATTGCGTTGTCCATGTGCTGGAATGGGGTTCGTTTATGCAATCTATCAGCTTGGATTACAGTATGCGCATCGTCTTTGCCCAACATGTAATCTGCCTAGGCTGTAAACAGATCGTTTGTGGATGTACGAACTGTAACACTGCTATCCTACCAAGGATTTACCTATCGTAAACTGAATCTGAAAATTTCTGTACACCCAAGCGTTCACTTGCACTTCTCCATTAAGCACACTGTTCAAAATTATCCGTTGTTGTGGTTTAACTGGCGCTTTACGTTGCCACCCAAGTGCTACGCACTAAACCGACACCCCATCAGTTTTTGCGCAGTCACTCTTCTTAAAAAGGGTTCATGTCAAGATCCTGGTCAAGCTTCTCACTATGTTCACTCACCATGAATGTGAAATTTCTGTGGCGCACTTTTCTCGTGATTTGTGCGACGTTGTTTGGCTGACTAAATTTGAACGTAAGAAACTCGACAACAGAATGAAAACTTATTCAATTTGTTGGTTTTAAACAGGTACCAGTGGAACAATTTAACATGAATCTATGAGTGCACAGTCGTGCAATTTTTAGTAAAAATAGATTTGCCAAGTTGTACCGTTCTGCTACATGCAATGTCTAATAGTGGCGTCTGGCAGCATTCAGACCTCTGTGTGGATGGGTATTTAGTAGGCAGTCGCGTTAGTCTTCAGAGTGAGATCTGTCCGAACAGGTTAACTTAAACTGGCTGGAACGTGACTCACCCCCTCCTTTCATTGGCTCCCACAGTCAGTTTGTCGCCCTGCCCGCGAGTACTCTATAAACATCCACGTCGACCACACACTCACCCACTCGTCTGGCGCGTGCACGAGTAAACGGTGGTGTTTGCAGTCGCCTGTTTTTCTATGCTGTCCGACAAACAGCATTTCCGTCAATTTCCCCGTTCAACTCAAACACCTGAAATTTTTTTGCAAATCAAGTCTCGTCTTCGGAGAGTCAAGAAACAGTTTTTGACCTTGGCTGTTGGAGAAGATTGCAATTGAAGTAATTGGTCACCTTGACTCAATGCCAATCGAAAGCCGATATAAAAGCTGAAGACCGCCGTTATTACTCAAATGAAGTCTTGAATCGAATTAGGTGATCGATAATCAACCCAACTGCGGCGGCACATACGTTTCCTGGTTGGCAGTTGCGAAATCGACTGAATTCTACGCTAGCTCTCGTCTACATGTCTACCTTCCAACACGATCTCCATTCTTTTGATCCCAAACCCTGATGTACAACTCAAAGCACTGACTGGAATATTTGATAAAGTGTTCCAGGGAGCACGCCACAGCCAAAAAGCTGACTCAAGCATAAACGAGTTGAGGGAACAGATTTTGAACCGTTCATTGAAGGCTGACGAGTTTTTGTGAACGACCACGACGATGATAACACTCTTTTCCCTATTTCCCCAATCTAGCCAACACAGGAAGCAATCTGGCCTATGTTTTTATGATTGTTATGGAAACAAGACAGGAGTCTGTAAAGATCCATGCGGTAAATATCCGCCTTATGTCCAATGATATCACAGCAAATCTTTAAAAAAATGTTTTAGGAATGGACAAATCGATGCAGATATCATCAATCCCCTAACTGAGAAGACATCAGCGATTGGGTAGCACCTAATGTCTGCCTGCTTTTCGTAGTTTGGCCAAATATTGTAAACATTTCATTCCTCATGGCGCTGCAATCTTGTCTTTATAGTTGTGCTACTTCCCATGAAGTTGACGGTAGCTAAGGAGGATGAAGTAGCATTCCAGGCTGTAAATGATGCTTTAGCGAATCTCGGGATGTTACGAACTAGTGCTACTGGAAGAAGGAAAAAAAAATATCTTGCGAACTCATGCTTACATAATGCGGTTTAACAACAAGGATTGGGAACTTCAATCGACTCAGCACAGGCGACTGACACTGAATTACGATAACGTAGTCAAAATTCTAGTTTTATATAACTTCAACTTTCACCTGCCCTCCGATATTTTACCCTCTCTACTTCCCGTTTTGACTGACCCTTCAAATCCCGTGTCTATTTTACCGACATCATGCTTTGATCTTCGAGTGTTTACCAGGTCCTTCCTTGAATTCCCTGGGAGAGGAGTATCTGCAATGGATTTTTACGTTTGAGTAAAAGTCGTTTGAACAGTTGGAACGTGACTCAGCCTTTTCTTTTATTGGTTCCCACAATCAGCTGGTTGCTTTGTTCTCAAGTGCTCCACAACGAAGCGCCAACTTCGAACGCGCATAGACCGTCGTGTCTGCTGTGAATAGTCTTTTCTGTGCTCTAGAGTAATTACAATTTGTACATAATAACCTTATTCGATAGTAATGCAATGCTTTACGATATCACCTTAACACGTAATCTTCTTAGAATATTTGTACACTGACGCTTAATGCACACTTCAACATTGACCTTTTATGCTCCTATAACTAGGCCAGGTCTACATAAATACGGTGGCATCAAGCCACGATTTGTTTGATGAGTCTTTGGGGCTGATGATGCCGGAACACTTGGGCTGTATTGTTCTGGTTGCGTGTTCGTTTGCATGATAGGCCGATTTCGGACTTGAGTCCGCTGTGACTTGTGACCTTTATTTAGCAAGTCAGACCACCCAATTGGGACTCCGCGGAGGTCGGGGACCCAGACGAGAATGAAAGTTGTTTTCGTCAAGAGTAGGTTACGCGAAGGTAATTTTAAGCAGATAACTTGCATGTCACCTACAAGGCTGTAGATGAGTGCGGCTTTGTAGCCTGCAGAGATTACAGCGATTTTCATGTAATGGGCTTTAAATGATGTCACTTAAATAGAATGAGCCTCACTTCAGCTTCCATTTGAACTACTAGAATAACACCCAATCTATTACTATTTCCTGAGTTGTATGGTGGTGACAGCCAGTTTGCGCGCAGAAAATTCCCATGAAAAGGTCTGAGGCGCTAAATGTGTTTTTTTATTCAGGAAAGGTTCGATTATCCATCAGAGCACATCGAGGCAATTAAATGTTTGTTTGGACTTTTGCTACAATCGGACACTGCAGTTCCCAAGAGCAACTTAATCACGACTTGATTATTGCACGCGGCTTCTGACTAAACAAATACAAATTTTTTTGCAATTTGCGAGTCAGTTTTTTTTAAATATCCGGTAATTTGCAGATTCCATACCAGTGAGGCGTCTGTATGTGGAATACCAGAATGAATACATGCCTGTGGTTGTTAACCTAGCTAGCTATTGTGTGGCAAAGTCTGAATGCACCCGAGTTTGAGTTGAGAGAAACTTTTACTGACACTCAGTTTATAGGTCACTAAATTCAAGAATGCAGGCTTTCACTCCTAACAACATGGCAGCGTGGTTATTTTGATTGATTCAAACTAGTTTTACTGCCCGGCGAATTAGTAGAGAAAAACAAAGTCGACGCGAAAATGCTACTTTGCGTACGAATTTACCAATTTTTTACCGCATGTTAACGGATCGTGTCGGACGTATTTTTAGGCAAATTTTATCGCCATGTTATGAGAGAAATGAATCAGTGTAATATTTCAGCGGGATTGAGACAGCTTCGAAAACTGAGCTGATTTTAACTATTGGGTTGTACACCTGAAAGAACGAGGATTGAAATGAGAACCAATCAGTCAATAAATTAATAAATGCATGAGTTTTTATGCAAATGTGTGTGTTTGAGCTTATCCAACTAGAAGCCGGTTTTGTAACGAGAGAATTGTTATCGAAATTCTGGGCTTGAACCAAAATATTGCAGTACTTTTTCGACCACCCACATGATAGTCACAGCACGGTCAATTTGCTGATAAAGAAAACGAAGCCCTCTTTTTACCATCTCCTGGTGCCAACGGTGACCTGCTGCAGTGATCTCACTAATAAATTCCCCTAGCTCGATTGCGAGAAGGTAGAAATGGCGCACCCTTCGGGATCTCCTAGTACCGTTCCTTCGTACCGTAAATATGGATGCAAAGATTACTTGAAAATGAAACTTCGCAGTAGTTTGCTGCGGCACGAATTACCTGAAAAAATGGAGACGACCGAAAACTACTGACATAAGATCTCTTTGTTGGCCACCAAGTCCAAGTCCCACACGGTTAGAAGGTGTGGAGATAGTTAGGTGCACAAATGTGAGAAAGCTAAAAGGGTAGTCACTGGAGGTGATCGTGATGAGAGTAGGTATGAAAGATTGGGATCGCGTTGTGAACCGTCAGTGGAAGTTCAATCAAACTGATTCACCGCCAGGTGATTGGCATTTGTGACTCATCACTGCCCTTCACTGGTCTCGGTTCACAAGTAAACGATAAACGCATTCGCATAAACGCCCACAATGACACATCCTGCCTGGCTGGTGAATAAACGGCCGTGTCGCCCTCTCACAGTCTTCAGGAGTTCTTTTGTGTGGCATCGAAAATTCTGGTTGGGAGTATGGTTCTCCCTGTTGGAAATCCAATGATCCGATACACTTCGCTAGCCCATCTCCGTCGTTGCGACCCTGCAGCCGATTATCAGCGATCGCGCGTGACTGAAGCCTGTTTACTGACCTGACGGTGCCAATGACTCATTCATTTTTCATTGGTTACTGTTATCAGACGCCCGTCATCCGCTCACTCATCCATATTCAGACACTTGGCTGGCGTGACGCTAGTAAACGGTCGTAGTTTCTGTTTG